CCTCCAGTCTGTGGTAGCTCTCGTCTTTCCTTACAAGCCTGGTGCTTCCCCACGCAGCCCTGCATGCCCCCATTTCTTGGGGACTGTAAGTGATAAAAAAAACTCCTTTCAATGGCATTCATCTCTCCAGGTCCTCACGCAGTCATCTCTATAAATCAAAATCTCACAGGTACAAAGAACACAGGACTTTAGAAAACAGTCTCATTCAGCCTCTTGGGCTGGCGGAGTGAAAGCAAGCCTGAGCTGGGGGCTGCCTCTCCTGTGCTGCCGATGGGAGGATCGGACACTTGCCACCATTCCCCAGCTCTTCACACGCCCTGAAATATGACTCTGCACTCTTCCCATTGAGAGGAGACTTTTTTCCCCACCATGGGGTCCTGGGACGAGGAGACCTGAGATTTTAGACCTTAGACTTAAGAACTGAGAATTTAGATCTTGGATCTTAGCTCCTTTAGCTAAGCTCCTCTGACTCCCAAATGCCTTTCAAAATTATACTTCGTCTCTGGACTCTTTAATCTACGCACAGCCTTCTCCAGATCCCTGAACCCTTCTTGATGCTGGGACAAGAACCCTGGCAGCAAGGGAAGAGACTAAGTGGCTTCTGAGACTGTCCAAGGGAGGCAGGTGAGGTGGGGCAAAGAGATCATTCAAGCAAGGCAACACCATCTTACACCCAGGTCCATCTGGGGCCGTGGCTACCGTCTGAGGCTTCACCCACCAGCCATCACCCCTCAGGGAGCCCCACGGGGCTGAATTTACAGGCAGAAAAGACTCACAGGGTCCCTTTGGTGCCCTTTCTAACATGGCTCCCTCAATCCCCGCCCAGGGAATGGAGGAGAGGTTCAATAATGTCCAAAGTGAGGGGGCTGCAGTATACCCCACACTCCTCCAAAACCTCAGGTGCAGGACTAGGACTGGGATGGGGCTGAGGAACCATCTAGGGGACAAGACAGGGCAGGAAAAGGGAGGAAGGAAGGTCACATGGATTTTGTTTGCTTTGCAGGGGCCAGGCTCCAGGGAAGTGGACTCAGTCTGAAATGTAGGGGCCCCGAGTCCAGGCTCTGGCCCAGCAGACACTGCCCTCTGCAGAGCTGCAGGTAGCACACATCCCCAGTTAGAGGCCTCTCCCATGTGACCTAACCTCCCCCCCCCCCGTGACAGGAAGTCAGTGACTATGTGAGCTTCGTTCCCTGGACTGATGGTGTGAAGGAGAGACTGTTCCGTGACATGAGCGCTTCCTGACCACTGCCAGATCCTCTGGGTCAGAACAGAGATTGCTTCCCATAAATCCCCTCAGAGACTGATCACCCCTCTCCATGTCCCAGGCATGCTGGTTCCTGGAACAGGCCCTCCCCCTCCCCTGGGCAAGCGTGTAAGGCCTTTCCCCCTTACTTGGGTGGGTTACGCCCAGCACCCCTATCCATCCTGCCCATCTCATACAACCCTTCAGCGGCTGCCGCATGGTGTGGTGGATATCCACTTGGTCTTGCCGCTGCCCAAGATGTACCTTGTGTATGTTCCCTTAATAAACTCTGGTAATGATGGAGTTGTCGCCTCTTTCTTTGGTCTCTCAGACCTGGGAAGTTTTACATAACAGAGGCATTCTTGGGCTGGCATGATCCAGCCCTAAAGAACAGAGAGCACTGGGCAAACTCTGATGAGGCTCTGGGGTCCTGGAGCGGGTAGGGCGGAGGTAACTCGGGGAAGAAACTCGCAAGCTGCCTGAAGGTCCCGGTCAGCTGATTTGCTGACTCTGCCCCTGGCGGTCCAAGTGTCAGTAGCCACCTGTTTTTAAGTGTCCTCATCTCAGATCCCCCTCTCACCAGAGACTGGATCTTGGCTTCTGGACTTGACCTGCTGAAAATAAAGTGGGGGAGGGGTCATTCCCTGAGAACTGGGACCTCAGGCTGGGGGTCATGTGGCGGGAACCCCCTGTCCTCCCTCAGTGAGGACAGATGACCCAGGAAGAGCCACGACTTCTCCCTCCCCGACTCCAGAGGCTTCTAGCATCTGGCCTCCATGACAACAGCTTCAGAACCCAAGCTCAGAAACCCCAGAGCAGTGAGCTGAGGGGCAGTGGGAGGTGGACCACATCAGGGTCCCCACCTACCTTGGGTGCAGGTAGGGCCACAGGGCACAGGTTTCTCAAGGTGGCTGTTGGGCTCTGGCAGGGATCTCAATGTCTGGGAGCAATGGGTAGAGAATGAGTGCTGTGACCACAGTTGGCAGTGGTCCCTGGGTGGGTAGGGCACTGGGGACTCAAGGTGGCTGGGTGGTAAGTGTACAGGAGGGGGCCCAAGAGTCCATCCCTTCACTTCCTTCCCCATCTCCCCCTGCACCTCACTCACTGAGGGGTTGGGGCTCTCCAGTGGTCATCGGGCCCAACTCCAGGCGCTGAACACTGCCCAGGGGGTGATCCCTGCATGGGCCATCTTTGGGCCTGACCAGTGAGATAAGAGGTTGGAACAGTGCTGCTGAGCAGGACACCTCCCCCTGCCTTCTGTGTTGACTGAGCCTCCTGCTCTAGGTCACTCTCTCTAGTGGCAGCTGTTCTCCACTCCTTCCCATTGGGTGGCCCTACTGTCCTTGATGACTCCAAGCCATTCTTAGCTGCTCATGCTCCATCTCCCAGGGCCTGCCACTTCCATGTCTCTTCAAAACAGTCTCCACTGCCCTCCAGACTCTGCCCTGGCGATGACATGCAGTTGCTCCCCTCTAAGAGGCTCCCCCATGCTGATACACCAAGCTCTGAGCACCTTGCACCACCGCCCACAGCACTGCAATCACTGCTCATTGTGGCAAGGCCCCTCACCTGACACCTGGGACCTGCCTGGTGCCCACCGCTGTCAGGGACAGCCTCTGTCCCTATCTCCGCCCAAACCCTGCCCTTTCCCTCAGCTTGTCCTAGGCCCACCCAAGGCCAGGCTGTGTCAGATGTGGCTATGAGGTGCCTGCCTTGCCCAGTACCCAGTGAAGGGGCAGCCCTAGGTCAACCATGCTTGGTATTATAGAACCCTCCTCGCAGGTTATGAGAGCTGGGTTCCTCTCGGGGCCTTGGCACAAGGGCAACTGGTGCTACAGCTGACCGGTGGTCTGGAGTGGAAAGATGTGCCAACCCAGCATTTAGGAACCTGAGGGAGGTAGCAGCAGAGATTTAGGCAGAGGAAATGACAGGGCCGAAAGCTCATGAGAAAGAGGCTGGGGAGGCCTTGAGGGGCACAGTGGAGCAGGAACTGCATTATGAGCTGGTGGAAAACAGGGCAAAGTCAAAGATGAGGCAGTCCCCTGGTGGGAGAAACAGGAGAATGGACAAGAAGAGACTGAACCACAGCAACGGGGAAGGGGCCCCCACCCTTGGCCCCTGGTGCCTCCTGCTGAAGGCCTCTTTCCACTCCCTCAGCTGCCTCTCTGCCTCTGGGGACAAGGCCTAAGGATACCACCCAAGCTGTCCCAGGCCCAGCAGAACTCTGAGGAGCAGGAACCACAGGAGTGGGCTCAGGGAGCAGGGACCTCAGAGCCTACCCACTGGCCCTCCTTGGGCTGCACAGGCCGTGCTGAAGCTGGGATCCGCGCTGCCGGTAGCAGCACCAGGCCAAGCCGGCCCCAGGAAGCAGAGGCAGTAGGAAGCTACAGATCACTGCCAGCAGGAAGGCGTCGTGGTCTGCAAAGGACAAGGTGAGGCTGAGTCCTATGTAGGTGCACCCCAGGGCCCGTCCCCACTCGCCCCCCATGTGCGCACTTTCCGGCTGCACAGGGCCGCTGTCCAGGCTGCCACCCGCCCCTGGCTTGTCGCAGGAGGGCGGAGCCCAGCCGGGATCACAGTGGCAGTTATGGTTGCTGTTGCAAACCTGCAGAGGAAGAGAAAAGGAGGGTCCCATGGGGTCAGGGACCTCAAGGTCAGTCACCCCCCCGCCCCCTACACACACACACACTCAAGACCACTCACCCCATGGCCATGGCAGGCGGTCAGACAGAGCTCCAACTCCTGGAAGGTAGTGTTCTGGCAGCGCCTGTCCTGGCACACCTATGGGCAGTGGAGTGCACTAAGCACCGTAGGGGAGTGATGCTTTGGCCTAGGGACTCGAGTGGCAGGGAGGGATCGGTGGGCAGGGCTCACCATTGTAGGCCCACACTGGGTGCCTGGCTCCACCAGGCCCAAGTCAGGCAGGTCCAGCTGGGCACCCGGTAGCAGGAAGGCCCCCCTGCAAGTCACCTCCCGGCCGTCCAGGCGGAGGGTAGAGTCCACCGGCATCGTGTGTGGTGCCAGTGGGCTCTGCTCCCCGCCCTGGCACTGCAGCTTCCCGCACTGCGCATCCCTGGGGACCAATTGGAGTGTCAAGCAGCATAGGGGGGGTCCCCCTTGTCTCCAACCCACTCCCCAGCTTCCGGTCCCTCCGCTCCTCTCCTCACCTCTGCGTACAAGGCACGTAGCCGCCCTCGTCATCCCTCCCGCAGTTGCCATGGGCGTTTCCTGCCGAGTTCACCACGTGGAAACAGGCCTCCGGTGCTGGGCGGGAGCCTGGGAGAAGCAGGGCGGGGGCTGGGGGACTAGGCTGCCCCCCGCCCTCCGTTCTCCCCCTCCCACCCCCCACCCCCCACCCCCCTGCCCCTCATCTTTCCTAGAGGAGAAAACTCCCCAGACCCAAGGTAGGCACGGGGTGCAAGGCCGCGCGCGTCTTCTCACCAGGTCCCCAGAGCTGCTGGCACTGCTGCTCGAGCGTGGGGCACGCGCCGTCCCGGCAGTAGCCCCGGCGCTGGCGCAGGGCGAGCCGTCCAGGAGGTAAGTGTCTGGGGGGCAGTGGGGGGAGGCGCCCGTGCAGAACTCAGGGAGGTC